AGGAAGTTCCCATGGGTGATGTGAGATTGGACCCTCGTTCAATTCATGGTCAAGCTCAACAAACCAATTTGAAATACTTGATGATGTTAGAAGTTGATAGTTTGGTTTGGAGCTTTAGGAAGACAGCCAGTTTGCCAACTCTTGGTGTCCCCTACGGAGGATGGGAGTCCCCAGATCAAGAGCTTCGTGGTCATTTTGTAGGTTAGTTTACTTCGATCCTCGGTGTTATTTGATTTATATGGTCTATGTTTATGTCTATTTAGGGCATCCACAATGCATTGGACTCTATAGAGTTTAAGGGATTGTCACATCATCATTCTAAAATCCATACAACTCTACAAAGTTCAATAGAATGTTATAAAATATAATTTATAGTAAATATTTAAGGATTAAAACTTTTTTTTCCCATTGAAGAGTTCTGTGGCCATTGAACTTCAAATCCATTGAATGCCAAAGTGGCATCTCACAATCGTTGAGTTTCATCTATTGAATGACATATGGACTTGCCACCTCATTCAACTCTCCCAATGAATTCACCATTGTGGATGCTCTTATGATATACAGTTTAATGTTATTTTGTTTATTTGTTATGAAGCCTATTCTTTCTATGCAACCCTATATCTCTATAATATATAAGCTCCATTTTTTTTTACCAAACATTCACATTATGCATGCATGATTTATAGAAAGCTTAAAGCAAGCCTTCTCTCGTTGGAGTTTTCGACTCCTGTCCTACAACTAGAAATATTAGCAAAACTAAAAGTTATGTAAAAGGGTGGATAAAATGTACAATTGGGTTATGTTCTTATTTTAGGGGACCAAAGACCATTAAATGTTTTTGAACAAGTTGATTAATTATTAAAATAAATTGGATGTGACCGCAACACCTAACCACTCCCTAACTTCGTCACATGATACAAGGCACTAGCCTACTGTGGCCACTTGGCCCCATGAGGTGCCGTATCCTAAGTTCCTAACAAAGAAAAAAATTACATGAAATGTGAAAGGATAATGTGTTGGAGATTGTATTTGCATAATCTTTTTGTTGGTAAAACAAATCTATTTATTCATGGGGTTTGTTTTAAGGAATACCATCATCAAATAAGTGATCTCCATTTTTTCTAAATAATGTTTCATCTTACTTATTTTAGTTTTTACTCCAAAAATATATTTTTAATATATTTTATTTTCCAACTTACATAAATTATCAAAAATATTCGTGTTGATTTGCTTTTAACAAATATATAATATATTTTTTTCATTACGGTAATATTAAATAAATAATATTATATTTATAAAACATTTATAAATAAGTATTATTCACGAACTCAACACATAAAAAGTAAACTTTATATTTATAATTCAACTTTTATAAAGTACATTATTGTGTTTTAAAATTTTAATATGAATTTAAATTTTTATATAAACCCGGTATATAAAAACTAAACCTTAAATTTATGATTAAGTAATATAACTAATTATACAAATATATAATCTCTCTCTCTCTCTCTCTCTCTCTTAATTTGGTTTTTGTTTTTGTTTTTATGCCTAGGATCAAAGGTATCCTTGTGGATTATTCTAGATTGTACTTCTTGATACATAGAGATAGGGTTAAAATATTAATTCGGGAAGTAATCTTACACGATTCACAATCAATCTTACTTTCCATACCACCCATTACCATGTTCTTCTATGTGTACCGACTCCAACATACATTGAATCATTTGGAGCTCTCTCTCAATTTGGTTTTTGTTTTTGTGTCTATAATCGAATGTGTCTTTGTGGATCATCCTAGATTGAATTTCGTGATAAATAGGCATAGGTTCGAAATATTAATTCGAAAAGTGATCGTACACAATCCACAGTCAATCCGAATTTTCATACCATCCTTTACTTTGTTCTCCTCTCCTCCTCTCCTATGTGTACCGGCTCCAACATAAACCGCATCATTCAGAGCACTAGATGGTTGGATGCTCAGAATATCGCAAAACCATAAATAAATAAATAAAAATCGGTGGCTCTTTTATATTTAGGTCGGCTACTTGATATCAAGAAGGAACATGCTATATCGAACCGTAACGTTTAGTAACTTTCATTTCATTAGGAAACATGGATTTAAAGGGATTTAAGTCTAGGCTCATTAAGGGTATATTCTATATTTTCACTTTTTAGAAGACAATTGACTCCTTACTTCTTAGTGTGTAAAATGAAGTTAAGGTTATACATAGTTAAAAAGTAATTTCTCACTTTCATCACTTTTGCAATAACACATCGATCCAAAGGTCCATTTTCTTTTCTGATTTCTTGTTTTATTTTTTCTATTTCCAATATCTCAATGGTTCGTTCTTAATCAAATTTGTGAGAGGTTGACATAACAAAACCTTTATTCGCTTTGTTAATGAAAGACAAAAATCAACTTTGCGCAAGACAAATCGGCGTTTAAAAATATTAATACTCATGAACAATGATTTAGCCGGCAGTGGATAAATGAAATAATTAAAATTTATTCCTTATTTAATTTATAAATAATAAGTTATGTAAAATCATCATTCCTAACGGGTTTAATAAGGATGTGTTCGGCACGCAACATTTCTAACTTCTAGATTTTAAGAAAACATCGTAAAAAATATATATTAAAAAAAAAAAAAAAAAAAAAAAAAAAAAAAAAAAAACTTTGTTCAGTGACAAGAGCGTTAGCTTTTAGCCTAAATAAAACTCTCAAAAATCAAAAGTTATATGGAGAGGCGTTCAACAAAACGCTCCAAAATCAAACGATACCCGCTACCAACTATCCACTACTCGTTAACTATTACCTACTACTAACTAGTTTGGACGAACATTTCCTAAAAATTCTTACTTGAAAATTATTACAAGTTCTATGTTGCCTTTATGTACTAATAGGTCAATTAAATGTCGTAAAGGCTTAAAATAATCTTAAATCATAAAGTTATTGGCGTCTTATCATCAAAAGGTATACCAATCTAATGCCTTAAACTAAAACTTTTTATCGATCTCTAATCTAATTTATGTTGTTTAGTTTCTTTGGTCAGACAAACCATTGAGGGCATCGTTTGTTATCTTTTAGTTTAAGCCCAATTGTTATCAATAGAAATCAAGTTGCTAAAAGTTCGCTCCACTCTAATAAGGATAGATGTGCCCTGGATTTAGCACAATTAGAGGTGTGATACAAAACTTAAAACTGAATAACTGAATCGAACCAAAAGATGTTGTATTTCTTAACTGATATGTATAAAATCCAAAGCGAACAAACTAATAAATAATATTGAAAGTTATATGCCGATTAGTTACGAATAATAAATTAAATTATTATTAATTAGTTACCAAATTTCATACAAAAATAAGCTTGATCATTTTTTTGAAACAACTGAAATGAGTTTGATCATTCACGGTCATATTTGATTATAAAAAAATATAAAAGGAGACTGACATGTTGTCAAATGAATTAAATACGATACAGATATTTAAAAAACGAAAAACTACTTAGAAAATCATAGATCATGATTTCTAAATGTATGGAATGACTCATATTCTTAAAGATTTTATGCACTTCAACGGTTGTAAATTGCAACTTAGAACCCTAGATTTAATGTAGCTATCATATGTTCCAATAGCAATAGAAGAACCAATAAACTCATAGCAAATACTCAAAAAAAAAAAAAAAAAAAAAAAAAAAAAAAAAAAAATCAAGACATAAATTAAAAAACAACTTAAAAGATTGCAAATCTTTAATTAGTAACTTCACAAAATGACTTGTATTTTTAAAGGTTTTATGCACTCTAGTGGATGTAAGCTACAATATAAAACCCCTAGTTGTCATCCATTCCAATAGCAATGGAAGAACCGATAAACTCAAAACGAATACTCAGAAATTGCCGATTCAGGAACCTCAGGTCCTCGGCCTGACTAAACACACGTGTGTACTTGGCTCATCCATTATACTTCGCTAAAACCTTTGTAGGATTAATGTAATGCAAGTCTTATAAACCCACAAAAGTTTATTCTTCTCACTAATAAGGTACAAAGGAGATTGATAACCTGCAATTTACTCCTTATAAATTTCCAACAAAGGATCACAAGAGGGTTAGATATGCGAAAAATTATGTAATCACATATGTGCAACAATTTTCGATAAGAAAAGGATATTATTTAAAGTTGTGATGTCATAATAGTTTACAAGAATCTTGTGTCTTCTGATTATGGATCCTAACCCACATGCTAAAGGACAAGTACTCTAACCCAAATACGTAACTAGCATTATATACAATATAATACAGTTTACAAGATGATATATATATATATATATATATATATATATATATATATATATATATATATATATATATATATATATATATATATATATATATATATATATATATATATATGGGAAAAGTGAATACACCCTTAAGGGTATATAAACTTAGGTACCCAAACTCACCATACTACATCGTTTTGTATCATATATAGATATTGTAATTGTCTAATATTCTTATAATTCAACTTCTAAATTGAATTACTTCAAAGATTTTTATAAATTTCATATTTATTTTCCTCTTACATAATTGTCATTTTCAACAATAATATATATAACCTAGTAAATGTTCGACAAAAATATGTGATGTAAAAAGAAGATAATAGTGAAAATTTAAAAATATTGAATATAAATCAAGTTAAGTATTGAAGTTTAACAATATTATAATGAATATATCAAACAAAATAACGTATTATTATGAGTTTTGGTACCTAAGCTTATATACCCTTAAGGGTATATTCACTTTTCCATATATATATATATATATATATATATATATATATATATATATATATATATATATATATATATATAATATATATATATATATATATATATATATATATATATATATATATATATATATATATATATACTGCCACTTTAATTATACTCCATATTTAGAAAATGATATCATAGAGAAGTCACTTTCCAAAATTAAATGTTAGAAAAACATTATTTAAAGTAATTATAAAAAATAAAATAAAATAAATCCCAACAATTCATTTAATTCAAGATCAATTCGAAGTTGTATCCAATCAGAGCACTGTAAAAGCGGCTTTTTCTGAGCAGTGAGTGGGTATTTCCTAACAAACCAAACAAAAAGGCGGGGAGCAAGAACGCAAGAACACGAGAAATTAATCAGGCCAACCCTAAAACTGTTTGCCTTTTTACGGATCCCAAATTCCTAATTTTATATTCAAATCCGAAAACCCATTTGTCTCCATCTCTCTATCTGTCACTCACACTTAATTTGATAATGTTAATACTCAGTTTCACACACTTTGATGATCAATCCTCCATAGATAACGACACCTAATCCGTGAGTTCTTTCTGTCTTGTAGTTACTTTCAATCTTCTTGGTGAATTTCCCTTTTTTCTTATCTTACACGACATTATTTCCCTTTATCATTACTTTTACTTCCCACAAAGTAATCAAGCTTCTGTAAATTCTTGTGTATCTCGTTTTTCTACTTCGATCTTTACTATTTTCACAACTGTATTCCATTTCGCTTTCGCTTTCTTTTTCGATTGTCTATGTATGATTCGGTTGTTGATGCTCATTCACTCATTGTTAGAATTTCCATTAACAGTTATTGCCTTTCACGAGACTTAATCGCCTATCCCATTCGTTATTGATTGTCTTTTAAGTAGTTACAGGTTAGGTATTTCAATCGAATTCAATATATGGGGTCTTTCGATTTCTGATGATAACTTATCGCATCTGCTGATATTTCTTCAACAAAATGAAATCATTCACGTTGTTGAAGATGCTATCTGTTTTCCTTTTCGTTTTCCTTTTGTTTTCTGATTCTGTTGTTAGTAAGGAATGTACTAACACTCCAACCGAGCTCTCATCCCATACTTTCCGATACCAATTCCTGAATTCGAAAAACAAAACATGGAAACAACAAGTGTTATCGTCTCACAATCACAACCATTTAACCCCGACTGATGAATCCGCTTGGGCAAGTTTACTCCCTAGGAAAGTCCTGAAACAGGAAGATGAATTCGCGTGGATGATGACTTATAGACAGATGAAAAATCAAAATCAAGGAGGTAAGAAGTCTGATTTTAATGGGAATTTCTTAAATGAAGTTCCCTTAGGTGATGTCAGACTAGACCCTGATTCAATCCATGGTCAAGCTCAACAAACCAATTTGAAATACTTGTTAATGCTCGATGTCGATAGTCTAGTTTGGAGCTTTAGAAAAAACGCCGGTTTACCCACTCCGGGCACCGCCTACGGCGGTTGGGAATCCCCAAATCAAGAACTTCGCGGTCATTTCGTAGGTTTGTATACTTGTATACGTTTAACGTTTCTCCAACCCTTTTTTTCTGATCCACAACCGATTCAATTTCTCTAATTTCCTTGTAAAACCATATATTCATGATTGATGATTCATCCACTTTTACGATCGACATTTCACTAATTTGATATAATTTTTGAAGGGCATTACATGAGTGCCACAGCTCAAATGTGGGCTAGCACTGGTGATGAAACTCTGAAAAACAAGATGACTGCAGTCGTATCTGCACTCGGTGAATGTCAGGAAAAGATGAACACCGGTTACCTTTCTGCTTTTCCATCTGAGTTTTTTGATCGATTTGAAGCTATACAACCAGTCTGGGCTCCGTATTACACCATTCACAAGGTAAATCCTCATCAATTTCGTCAATTTGATTTATTTTTATCAAGTTTAATTCATAATTTAGCGTAAAAATGGCAGATAATGGCGGGTTTAGTCGATCAGTATCTTTTAGCTGGCAACAATCAAGCTCTAAAAATGGTGACAAAAATGGCGGACTATTTCTACAAACGCGTACAAAATGTGATTTATCAGTATACGATCGAGAGACACTGGCGATCTTTAAATGAAGAAACTGGTGGCATGAATGACGTCATGTACAGACTGTACACCATAACAGTATGTTAAAGAATCATGATGTGTAATTCTATTTTTTATTTTTTTAATATTAATTTGATTTTAATGGGGTTGTTAATTTATTATTGTTAGGGAGATAGCAACCATTTATTGTTGGCTCATCTTTTTGACAAACCCTGCTTTCTTGGACTCTTGGCTATAAAGGTAAATTCAATTTCAATTTTATATATATAATATATGTTGTTTTAAAGATTTTTATAGATTAATATGGTTAATATTTATTTATTGTAGGCTGATGATTTATCTGGTTTTCATGCGAATACGCATATTCCAATTGTTATTGGATCACAAATGCGGTATGAAGTTACTGGTGACCCTCTCTACAAGGTATTTCATTTATACCTGTTTTCTATATTTTTATTTTTATTTTTATTTTTAAAAGGACAAATTTTATACAAATATTATTTTGTGTTTAGGAAATTGGAATGTTTTTCATGGATGCTGTGAACTCTTCTCACATGTATGCTACAGGAGGGACATCGGTTAGTGAGTTCTGGTATGTGTTTAGTGTGCTTAACAGTTTTTTTTTTTATGTTTTGTGCGTAAATTCATAGTAGGGTTTAATAACATAAATTTAAAGGATAATCATATATATATATATATATATATATATATATATATATATATATATATATATATATATATATATATATATATATATATATATATATATATATATATATATATATATATATATAGCCACCTTATGACGTGACATATAACAAATCGAACATTTTTTTTACCAATTGCATATAATGGCATCGATACTGCAATTGGTTGCAAATTGAGAAATTGCTTTTAGAATGTTCCCACCACAAAAGAAACCAAATCTTACAATTGTATTCTGAAAATTGTTTAAAAAGGGGAAACATGAGCAATTTAGCAATTGTTTGGAATTTCCCAAGAAAACGTTTTTTGGAATTTCGCAACTAACCAATTTAGTAATCTCGTGATTTTGTGCTATGTGTAAAAAATGGTCAATTTGTTAAATGTCACATCATAGGTCATTTCATGAATATCCCTAAATCGACATATATACTAAAATTATTTTTGTACTATTTTAAGTTTGTTTATTGGTGACCACATAAGCATGAACATTTTGATTTTTGTGTAACAAATTGGTGGTTGGTTTTTTTAGGTCGGAACCTAAAAGACTAGCTTCAACGTTACAAACGGAGAATGAGGAATCGTGTACCACTTATAACATGTTGAAGGTATGCATCTATATATATTGTGGATCCCACATCAGCTAGATACATTTATACTATTTTGAGAGAAAATCAAAACTCCATATATCTAACGTGATATTAGAGTTGGGTCCTATATCAGCTCCACATATCTAACAATCTTTATGTCTAATTTACGATGGTGTGTGTGTGTGTTTATAGGTGTCTCGTAATTTGTTTAGATGGACAAAAGAAATGGCGTATGCAGATTATTATGAGCGAGCATTGACTAATGGAGTTCTTAGCATTCAAAGAGGGAAAGAACCCGGAATCATGATATATATGTTACCATTAGGCACCGGGGTATCAAAAGCAACAGGATACCATAAATGGGGATCCAAGTTTAATGATTTTTGGTGCTGTTATGGAACAGGTTCCTTCATTTCCTACCTTTTTGGAATTCCATTCCAACGATTGTTTGGTTGCAAATCGACGGAATTGAATTCATCATATATGGAGTTTGGAAGGAATTCGATACCATTCCTTGTGTTATTTGTTAAAAGACCAAAATACCCCCATTTGATTGCCGTTTGGGTTACTTTTTGTAGGGATCGAATCGTTCTCGAAATTAGGTGATTCGATATACTTTGAAGAAGCAGGAAACAATCCCGGGATTTATATCATTCAGTATATATCAAGCTCATTTAATTGGAAAAATGGTCAAATTTTTATTAATCAAAAAGTAACGCCAGTTGTTTCATGGGATCCTTACCTTCGTGCAACAATCACAATCTCCTCGAAGAAGGTATGCGAAACATTTTAGCAACGTACTTACATATTTGTTTATTATTGGAGAAAAATGGTCAAATTTTTATTAATCAACGTGCTTTTTAATAATTTACCTAGTATAGAAACATCATCCAGATACGTTGTTAATTTTTTTCATTTATAAACGCTATTTATTTTTATTTTTTTGCTTGTTTATATAAACCAACCATTTTGTTTTGTAGGAAGGATCATCATCTAGCATGAATATTAGAATACCATCTTGGACAACATCAAATGTAAAAGCATCACTCAATGATCAAGTGATTCCTGTAACACCTGCAGGTATGAATTTTCTATATAAAAAAATAAATATTTATTCATCAATGTTATAAAACTTCATATAAAATTCTTTTCACTGTAGGTAATTTCTTATCAGTCACGAAAATGTGGAGCTCCTCTGACGTTATTACCCTTAAATTTCCAATAACCCTTAGAATGGAGGCTATTCAAGGTACTAATTTTGAGTCTTCATATAGTTACGTTTTGAAATATAAGTTTGACTATATTACAATTTTGGTCCCTGTGGTATATGCCAGATGAGCGATCTGATTATGCTTCTCTTCAAGCAATCTTATATGGTCCCTACTTGCTAGTTGGCTTGACCACTGGTGATTCCGACCTAAAACCGGAATCAGGTTCTCTTTCCAAATGGATCACTCCAATTCCGGCGGAATACAATTCCCATCTCATTACTCTTTCTCAAGAAACCGCAAATTCAACCCTCACCCTTTCACACACAAACACCGGCATCACAACGGTGAAGTTCCCCAACCCCGGAACTAGCGATTCCGTCTTCTCAACATTTAGAATCATCTTAGCAAACTCAACTTCAAGTCAGTTTTCATCATATAAGGATGCCATCGGTAAAACCATCATGCTGGAGCCATACAACCTCCCCGGGATGTTAATTGTACAACAAGGAAAAGAAAAAAGTCTCGGAATCAGCGGTTCCTCCGAACCCCGGAATTCGTTATTCCGGTTGGTGGAGGGAAATGAAGGAACGGTTAGATTAGAGTCTGATAGCCAGAAGGGTTGCTTTGTGTATAATTCGGATGGAAACGTGAAGCTCAGCTGTGATTCTGGTGAACAGGATTCCGACTTTATGGGAGCAACTAGTTTTAAGGCGAACGGGGGAATCAGCAATTACCATCCGATTAGCTTCGTGGCAAAAGGGCTGGAAATGAATTTTCTTCTGCAGCCGTTGTTTAGTTTGAGGGATGAACACTACACAGTTTACTTCAACGTTTAATCCTAAAGTGTGTTCAATCCACCCTCTAGTAGTTTATTTAAATGGATTGGATGGTCTTACCTTTGATGTCTCTTTGTAGTGTATACTTGTTCGCTATGTATTTATTTATGTACAATGTAATACCCTCATTATATAAACATAAATATATCATATAATATAAATGTCCATCGTCATCAAGCACAAATAGGAGCAATTAGCAAAATTATGGTTTAAGAACCAAAAAGGGCGATTTGTAATTGGAAGCCGAGTAAACTAACCAACTTTGAAAGCACTTTTTAACAGCATAACCAATTTTTTGGAATTTTCGTAAAATAACCACAGTTCGTAGTGATACATTTTGGACCCGTTTGTAATCGGGTCACCCACATCATTAATCCTACCTATTACTATGTCCCTCTATACATATCATTTTGGACAATCACTCTGAACGGGCATTTCGGACTCCACCTTCTCCGACTTGCGCTTCGAAGTTGCATGAAACCGGATTTTGGACAAACACTTTGTTGAAGGATGTCGCCTGACAGTGAAGAGCTCGAGCAGATGTGGGTATGTGTCGTTTCCTTTAGAGATTATTATTTGGTTAACATATGTGGGTATGTTAAAAAATTGTTAGTGTTGTTAGTAGTTTTAATGAGAAATACTTTGTGTGAACTAGACTTTGATGGTATAAGGTTTTTTGTATGATTAATATTACTCTTAGCAACAGTTACTACAAGTAAAACCCTAAAAAATATGTTATGAACACTCTACACACTGAAATGCAAAGATCTAATTTGGAATCCGTAGAACTTGTTTGGAATATGTAGATCAGTCCATAACAAAGGCCATTGTAGTTCGGAATAGTACACTAATTTTAATTTTTGTTTTGTAGCATGATGATATTAATAAGCGGTTATCGCTACAAGCTACAAACATGAATTGGATAGGGAAATCATAGCTAGGTTATACCTTACCCCAGTATAGGTGGCTCTTTTTAGGGTTTACTGTTTTGGTGTGCAGATCAATGTGTCGATGGATGTAGAATGCCACTCGTTACTGTGTCATTACTTTTGATACAAGGAGGTAGTGACTCATAATTTTTCGAGGAAAGAGCTTATTTCTGTTTGGACCCAAAACCAAAACCCTTTGTGGTAAAAAATTTGAGGTGACAGCTTTATTGATATTTGCATATTTATTCATATAGTTTGTGAATTATCTTAATAATTTTAGCTACAATTGTGCTTATTTTAGAACAAAAATGTATTTAATATGTTTAATGGTGCTTAATATGTTTAAAATTTGTTTTGTAACAACAAGGACATGCTCGGGATTAAAAGGAAGCAAATGCGGAGCTGGAAGCAGGAAAACTAGACCACGTCAACCGAAGACTAAAATTTCATGGATTCTGAAGCCCACGGCGTGGAGATCTGTAGCCACGCCATGGTGAGATGGTTTTTCACGGTCAACAGATGCCTTGGAGAATACGCGTTTTTAAGTGATCGTCACGCCGTGGATCCTATTTGTCACGACGTTGGAAGCGAAATTTGGAAAACTATAAATATATCGCTTTGGATCTTAACGCTAACTTATGTTGGAAGCTATTGTCGACTTTTGAAGACCAGACACATCCCCTGGAGGCTTTGGAGTGCAAAATTTGATTGAGAGCTTGATTTTGAGGAAATTTAAAGGCAACATTACTTCTAATTACTTTATTGCTTTGTTTTTATCATGTCTATCAAAGTGACTTTCGTTTTTACCTGTGTGTTTTCAATAGTTAAGGGCGAAAAACTCTAACTTTCGTTTAGAGTAGATGATCTTACATACTATGTGTTGATTTAGCGGATTTGGATTATTGCTAGGGTTTTATTTATTATGGTTGCTTGTTAAAGAACCAATTATTTTAATGACAACTTCTTGTCTGTTTATTGATGAGTTTGATTGAGATTTGATAAAGTTGGCTTGAATCTTATGATTTTGTGAACAACAAGGTTATATGACTAGTGTTTTGACCAAAAGCCTAGATTTGTTTGTAAATTAATGTGAAAGCTAATATATGAAGAACAATTTCTTAGTGTACACGTTTGTAGACATGTATAGCCCATTATTATAGTTTGTGTATAGGCCCATTTGATATGTATTCATCAGTATATATTTATGCATTGTAACCTAATACGAAGAGGGAGGTATTTTGGAATAATATGGTATCAGAGACCATATCCAAACTTTCCTAAAATCTACCCTTTCTTTTCTCTCTTTCATTCTCAAACTTATCTTCTCCATCGGCACCTCCTAACCCTACCAGCGGCCTCATATTCATCCTTAACAATGGTAGACCCATATCAATCCTCCTCCACACAAAGTCTTTGTTATCACCAATATCAAAGCTCATATCCCGATTCTCCTTGATCTTGATTGCTACAATTATGATACATGGTGTGAATTCTTCTCTAATCACTGTGAAGCATATGATGCACTCGATCATATCATTGCAACCTATGATGATCCAACTCCTAAACCAACCGAAACCGAATGGAAGAAGGTAGATGCGGTGGTGCGTACATGGCTCTATTTGACAATGTCCCAAAATCTCATCAACATAGTCATCAAACCTAATGTTATGGCTCGACAAATATGGTTGAACAGTTAAAAGCTCTTCCAGAATAACAAAGACTCTCGTATCATGCAACTTGAAAGTGAAATCCAATCTATCTCTATGGGTGACTTGCCGGTACATGCCTATTGTTCCAAGATTCAAACCATAGCCGGCGTACTTGAAAATCTTGATGCTACCTCCAAAATATCCGAAAAACATCTAGTGATTCACACCATCAAAGGACTCTCTTCCCGATTTAACAACATTGTTATTATGCTCTCCATAGCATCCCATTCCCCACGTTTTATGAAACTCGCTCCATTCTCGCTTTGGAAGAAATTGTAACGCCCGCAGATTTGAGCTAGTTAAATTAGAGACAATAAGCGTTAAAAATGACTTTTTGATAGAACATTATTTAGAATAAATAGTCTTAACCAAAGAATAGTATATGTCACAAGGATTTCGTACATATTAAGAACACTGAAACCCGACTTATAACAAAGAAGTTATGATCCGTTAAAGTTTCACGATTAAACGGACACGACTTCGTGTATCGTAAAAAGTAAAATTTTGATGAAACAATTTTTAGCCTTAGATATCTAAATCTAAACAAAAGTCGAAGTAGACGTTAAATCGAGATCGTGCATATAGAGAACGTCCAAATCTAACTTCATTTGAGAAAGTTATGAATTTTCTAAGATTTAGTGTAGCAGTACATAGATTGGAAAATTGAATTTTAGATCGATCGATTATTAGCCGACACAACCTAAACGAGAATTGAAGATCTCATTAATAGGTGCTCAATGATATAAAAACATTCAAAACAGACGTCGGATGACAAAGTTATGAATTTTTAACGGACTTTAACTGTCGAATCCTGTTAAAATATAACTTTAAAAATAAAGTCAAAATTAGCCGACTGAGTCTAAACAAAAGTTGTAGATCACATCACTACCTATGCGTAGATATATAGAACGTCGAAAACGGAGTTCTTATGCGAAATTTACAGATTTTAGAAGATAATTAATTTTTGGACTAAACCAGCGAGTGACACATAGCAAGATCTGAGCCACTACTTCTTCCCCACGGCTTTGCACAAGATCACAACACGTGGTACATTACGCACAGCGTAATTTTGAGTACACTTAGTGTAACCCTTAAAAATCCATTACGCTAAGTGTAATTCTTGAGTATGCTCAACATACTCGGTGCTAGTAGCCTATAAACAGAAGGCGTTTTTCACTCTTTTTCTCACATCTCTTCACCCATTACTCTCCCAAACACTCCCCCCCCCCCCCCCCCCCCAATCCTCTGAGTCTTTCCTTAGCACCTCCTAGGTGTTATTAGTAAGTCCTGGAGCAGTAGAAGGCACCGAGAAGAAGAGGTTTCGGGTCAGAAGTTCTGCCCGCGCAGAGCTCGGTTCTTCGCTAAACTCCCTTGTAAGTGAGTTATGTTTACCATACTTTAAGTACAACTTATGTTGAAGTTCATTATTGTCATTGTGAACCTATAAACAAGATTTATCAGTGATTCCAAGTTGCTATATTGATTGATCTACCTACGGGGATGATGTATTGGTTGTGATTTAGTGAGGTGTTTAAAGTGGGATTTTCAAACAATACTTCGTATACCAAACGGACCCTACCTGGTTGTTCCTTACTTGATAGATCATGAAAGTAGACTTTGAATTAATTATAAATCTCGACTAACAATTAGTCGCAATAGATATTAGACTAAAACTTAGTGATAATAATACTAGGTTACGTCAACGGAAAAGACAATTGCTAGAAGCGAAGCGCTGCCCGAATTTCGAGTCGTCGCTTTAACAAGTGAGTGCGTAGTCCCTTTCATGAACATGATTTTAATACAAGTATTAATAAAGGTATTAAATATATGTTGAAATTTTATATGTGATTTATATGTTTATTATCTGGAAATACTTTTTATATGTATATTTGATGATATACACTATGCGAACCAGACATGGTTTTATATTTTTTGAGATGAATTTACATGATAGTAATAATAGAAGTATTATAAATGAGACGATAAATGTATGTTAATACTTAATACTCTGTATAAAATCTTACACTAAATTAGGATATTGTTGCTGAAACAGAGTTAGTATTGAAAGTTGATTATAAGCATTGTAGGCTTGCTTAGTGATGAAATAAGACTTAAAAGAGATGCTTATTTCAGTTAAGTTTAGATATTGGGTAGTATCTTATTAAGGGTACGTGTGTGATCGGAATATAGATTAGAAACTCTATTGGAGGAGATTGATGATCGATGGAGTATTTCCTACGTACAAATAAAGCCCTAGTTAGCCTCAAGTATAAATAAAGCCCATTGGCCTCTTGAACTCGGGCACCTCATTGAAACCCTAGAAGACCCAAATTTATGAGCAAGTGACTCCTCTCTCCTCTCTCTCATATTCATCCTCTTGCCCTAGTGTTTGTGAGCCATTAGAGGTACTACACTTGTGGTGCTTGTTCTCAAAAGCAATGATCTTCAAGAATTGGTTGTTATTAATATATAGCAACAAAGGTATGTGTTCTAATCTTTCTTATGTAGATATCCGAATATTAGATGCATATTAGCGTTTTCTGTTTTGTGTTCAATGCTTGTATGTCTAATAGAAAAAACATAGATCCAATCTAGGGTTGCATGCACACAACACACATAG